GATGGTCGGTCTGGTATATTGAAACAAAAAATTATGAAAATTGACTTTTACTAATTAGTTTGATTATGACACAAATCAAAATATTAAATATATATAATAATCATAATACACATATACATATTAATTTAAAAGTAATCTTCTCGGATTTGCCGCCGAAAATTTGTCTATGACAGTCTTTTGAATAAACTCACTGTTTTCTTTTAAATAATTGCGATGTACGCTCATCAGACATAAACCCGTAAGCCTTTCTTCACCCATGGTGCTTCTAAGCCACGTTTTAACTCCTCGAAGCGTACTGAAGGACCGTTCTACGGTCGCCGTGGTGCATAGGATAGTGCTTAAAATAATCAATACCTTTCTGACAGCAGGGTAAAAAATATTGAACAGATCAACTACTTCTATATCCCTTAATTGATCATCTGATAAAGCATTCTTCATCCATAAATTATGCCAAAGGTTCAGTTCTCCAGTGATTTACAGGTTATAAAATTCTTGGAATGATTCTGCGTTCTTGTGTAAGTCTGTAATGCTGGTTTTTGTCATATACAAGGGATGTAGCTTACTTAAAGCAAACGCCGGAGTATTTTCTTGGGAGAATCGAATATTCAACGATGAAATGAGTGAATCAATGTATGGTATTATCAGAGAACGCCGCCAATATTCGTTATCATTGTCAGATGGCGGATTACTTCTATGTGTTTGCTTATGAGCAAGACGTGGAACCGAAATTTCTATGTTCAAATCCATTGCAACAGCTCGCGCTTATTGAAACATTTCATTACTTATTTTATCAGGAAACTCGCGGTCATTTCTGAGAATGTCCTTGATATTTTTGATGTGTTCCCCCACCGAGATCATGTCGATCGATTTAGCTTGCAGTGCGTTAAGTACTGGTTCTAAAACTGCTGAATATTTGGCTATTGTTTGTAGAGCAACAATAAACACTGGTTTTGTGACGGCTGAATGCAACTGATATGCAGATTTTCTGGTGGCATAATTTCCCTCTACGGATAACGTTTCTAGAGATTTCACAAGCTCTGGAGAATGTTGAGAATACTACACAAGAAATAATTGATGACAATATTTGTCTGTTTTCATCGATTGCTTTTTGGTGTCCACTCTGCAGTTGGATGTCTACATGAACATTTTCAAGATAAAAATTTTGCAACATTTGTCGCTGTTAGGTGAAGATTGTTCATTGCATGCTTTCGGCAGTCTTCATGCATATTTTTGAACTTTATATATGGCCTGACCATAAATGATCCCAAAATTCCTCTTACAGTGCTGATAGGCGGAGGGAACATACACAATGCTTACAAATAGCGCCTTTTAGTCGCTTGGAATATACTAGCCATGGTGCATATTGATCCAACCAAGCATGATAAAATTTCCTTTTCAAATGGCTTGCATCACTTTCAAAATCATAATTTCTGGGCGGGATCCAAGGATGTTGTAACAACTCCCTTTTCTTTTCCGTCGATAGCTGAGTAGCCAACCCAACATAACGACCCAGATCATTTTCATGATAGCCATCGTCCACTATATTTTCAGGATCGACGTTGACGTCATAAGTTTTCTGGGATGCCGATGGAGAAGAATAATCGGCAACAGATATATTTACAGGTTCTGCTGGAGAATGTGACGCTTGTCCAAGGTTAGCATGCAATGATCTTGGCATTACATGGGTTTTATCATGGTTGTCATTTTCATCGCTTCCTCCACTGCTACTATCCCGACCTTTTTTTCTTTTTTCGCGTGTTGTCCCTAAAAAAAGGATACACAAACATTTATTTATTAATTACTCTTACGGTGTTTAGGCTTAGAACGAAAAAAAACATTATGTACCACGTTTTTAAAGCGGACTAAAAAGTATAAAATAATATTTTCTAATGCCATATAAATTGATCTAAGCATTTTTAATTTATAACAGTTACAGAAATTCTTGAAAATTTAAAACGAAAAACGTGGGGCGCATAAAATAGATAGATACCTAAATTACAAATTTTATTCTACTGCAAATATATAAAACATAAAAAGTAGCAGTCAATGAGAAAGCTCATCTAACATGAGATTTCTCAACGACTGGTACTATTTACACTTTTTATCATTACCTATCTTATTTTTTTTTCTTGCGCCCCACGTTTTTCGTTATACTTTTTAGTCCGTTTTAGAAACGTGGTAAGTATATTTAAAAAAATCTGCTTTTTAGCCATAAAAAATGTGTATTTTTTTAAACCTGTAAACAACAAACAAGCAAACAAACAAATGAACAAACAAACAGACAGACAAGAAAACAATCTAATATTGTATTGTCATCCACTTCTGACCTACAGTCAAAATTTCAAGTCTCTGGCTCATCCGGAGATCGGGAAGATAGTTTAAAATCAATTGCCAGATTTGTACCGAACAGACAGACAAGAAACCGACCTAATAAAAACGTGGTAATAAATAAAGATTAAAATACCTATAAAAACATCAGATTCAAATATCAATTACTTCCTATACACTTACAAGACAGCCCCCCTTAAACAAATAAAATAATCATATTAGGTACATACATATGAGTTTTGTTTTGACTCACCTCTTTCAAAGAATTTCCTGATATCCATTTGACGGAGTAATATTTACAGTTGTTGCGCGGTAAACGTAAATCTCTTGTCGCCGCAACTAAACTATAAGTCACTATTATGGCGCATGAAATATTCGCTCGTATTAAACTCCGAACTGAATTGCCTTGCTCTGCCTCACGATCGCGCTTATACACTTCTGGACACATGTATTGGCCCACCTTGTATTTTCAGTTTCATTTGGTCCTAGCTAAAATTTTATATTAGGTCCAGCAAAAAGTTTTTATGCAGTTTTGAACCTGGCACATTCACAATTTCATTCAATAGTCTTTTTTTGAATTTCGAACACAGAATTTAAAGAAACAAAAGACAATTTGGAGCCTGTTTGTTGATATCAAACAATCGAATACTAAGAAAACTTGGTTTTATTGGTTTACTTGGATTTAATTCTTGAAAAAGTGATTGATATCTTTGGTTTTGCAACAAACATTACTTATTCTTAACATTAAGGTGAGGTTCTATCAATAATCTATGGATACTTCACCTGAAGTCGCCGCCCAAGCTGTGGCACTTATTCAGGCCGGACACAGCCAAAGAAACGTGAGTGCTCAACTTAATTTAAGTCGATCTGCGGTCCGAAATGTTTATCGGAGGTACCTAGAGACTGGCGGCTTTGTTGGTCGCCAAGGAAGGCCACGATCTCGGGTCATAACTGAAAGGCAGGACCGATTCATCGTGACGACCAGCTTGAGAAATCGTCACCTTACCTCCATTGAGATACAAAAACAAATTCGCGACTTCCACGGAGTATCTGTGAGCGCTCGAACTGTTCAGAGAAGGTTAAAAGAACGCGATATGGTACCACACAAGCCAGCTAATGGGCCCAAACAAACGCGAGCCCACCGAACAGTGCGCCTTCATTTCGCACGCAGTCATTTAAATTGGACACAGCAAGATTGGAGCCGTGTACTCTTTTCTGATGAGTCTAAAATTGTGTTACATGGCAATGATGGAAGGAAGAAGGTCTACCGACGTAAGGAAGAGCGTTTCGCACAATGTTGCTTTGAAGAGAGGGTTGCATATGGCGGTGGCTCATGGACTGTGACTTCGACATACCGCCCCAGAGGCGGTATATCCGCGAGCGGCAAAACTCAACTTGAGGTTGTTACAGGACCACGGCTGCCAACATTAAATGCTGAAAGGTACATTCGTGAGTGCTTAGAACCTCACGTGATACCATACGCGGACTATGTGGGCCCAAATTTCCTTTTTATGCATGATAATGCAAGAGCCCATGCGGCCGGCATCGTCAGGGAATATCTTCGGGATGTGAACATCACAGTTATGGACTGGCCAGCCAGAAGCCCAGACATGAACCCCATTGAGCATATGTGGGACGAGCTAAAAAGACGTGTTAGGGCTCGTCAGCCAGTTGCCCAGACGATGTAGGAGTTGAAAACTGCCATAGAAGAGGAATGGGAGATGATCCCTCAAAATTTCATAGAGCGGTTGATAAACTCTATGCCTAATCGTATGAGAGCTGTGGTAGATGCCCATGGAGGCAACACGCGTTATTAAATTAAACCTTTATTTGATAAAACATGTTTTTTATTCAAAAATCAATTGCCTTTAACAAGGCGCATATCCGACTTGTTAGGCGTAGCTCCATGTCGTATGGTATTCTGAATTCAAATTTAAAACAATACGATCGAAAAAGATGGTAAAATGTATCAGGTTTAAAACTGCATCAATAGTTTTTGTTCAATCTAGCAATCATATTTCGGTAGGGGCCATCGAAACCTAAACTCTAAGGTGGGCCAATAGATGTGTCCAGAAGTGTATATTCAAATATTTCTCGCTCCCGCAATACGTAGAAAATACTCGACTCTGTTGCCACCCTTGTCTCATACTTGCTATCACTGTCCTGTGTGTGAAAAGGAAACTTTCCAGAATAGTCCATGCTAGAACGTTCTTCCTTACTGGAAAAAGTACTGTCGAGTGTCGTCATCCGTAACTAGATAACGCTAGCGCTAGAAGTTGTTTTCTCCAAATTATATTCGGCTTTAATCCTAGATGGCTCTGATAATCTCGTCGGGAGCGGAAACTACGAGATACGACGGTTTCGCGGGAGATATAAATTATATTGCGTCGATAATATATCGAATGTTGTAGAATATTTAATTATAGATAAAAAATATTAAATCGAAATATCTGACAGAAAAGATGTTTTGTTTCCAACACTTCATTTTGCGCAGAGTAGGTAACGCGTTTTTAATTCCCACTTGCCAGGAAAATTGACGTTTATTTTATATTTATGCTTCTTCTTTTTATAAATAGAATTCGCAAGTCGGTGCGCTCTCTAGCAGCTCTAAAGGAATTTGTGTATTACATTGCGGAGATAAGGGTGAATTTTCTATGTATTTCCGACTTTGCGCTGGTATGAATAATAACCATTATTCCTCTATATCACGAAACACAATTATTATATAAATTATGATGAAAAATAAAACACTTCACATGTTTACTTTTAGTCGTTTATCTAAAGGAATGGGGATAGAAGACATATAAAAAAACAACATGCAATTCGGTTATGTTGCTTTTTACTATCAATTTTGGATGTATGTGTACAAGTATGAATTCGAGGAAAATAAAGGAATATGTAATGTTTTATAATATATATTCTACATCGCAGTACTCGTTATGAACAAACATTACTTATTATTATTTCCGATATAATACTTCTACTCAACCATATTTTTGTTCGATCGCTCACCACTTGAGTAAAGATATTATGAGAGCATATTCTCCTTACAAGTCACAAAACAAAAATATTATTATATTCTCTATGGAAATCCAATTGATTTAAATAAAAATATACTAGCTAAAAGAAACACTATTCGTTCTCTGCGAGATTAGCATTACTGCGTAACATCTAACTGTACAGATACGAAACACAAAAACGCATAAGAAAACATCTTCGGTATCCACATGATATTTATTACAACGTCTCGCTTACAGAATGCATAGAAACGAACAATATTTTCACTTGCACATCGTAAAATCTGTGAAAAAGTCGCGTTAAAAACCTAAAATTCACATACTGAAAGTCTAAAAATATATTATAATAGATTTCAAATGTCTATACATAGATGAGTGTTCACTACGCGCTTATAACGAGCGTCGGGGCGCGCGTCCATTAACGTTATTACATTATTTGTTTAAATACGACAAAACGGACCGACGACGGCGTCCGTCCGTCCGTGCACACGCGGCAGCGTGCGTCGCTCCTGCCGCCGCAACCGTACCGTAGGGACTAGACACACGATCCGAGAGAGGTCTACAATGCATGCGTGCGACGCGGCGACTCGCTACTGCATCATTATTACATAAGAGTTTGTATCGAGAGTAAAATTACAAAGGTATCATCGTTAACATAATGCGTGTGTGTACATATATATATTTATTAATTTGTCTATATATAAATATATATGTACACGGTGCGCTCAGACGAAGACTTTAGCGAGGCAGTCGGCGCCGGCGCTGGCGATGAACGGCCGGAGGGGATGGAACGCGACATCGAGGATGCTCTCGTCGAACTTCTTGCGGTGCGCGGTGATCTCCTGCACGCAGGTCTTGGTGTCGAGGTTCCAGAGGCGGACCGAGCAGTCGTGGGAGCCGGAGAGGAGGAAGAGACCGTTGGGGTCCAGGGCGAGGCCGGTGACCGCGTCGAGATGCGCGACCATCGCGTGCGCGCAGCGGCCTGTGAGGGCGTCCCAGAAGCGGATGTGCCGGTCCTCGTGCGCGGTCACTAGCAGGGAGCGCGTGGGGTGCGCGCGCACGCGGGTCGCGCCGCTGTCGCACGGCACGCGCAACACAGCCTAAGTAAACATTATTTATCATATGAGGAGCTGGCCAACAAAACGGTATAGTCACATAAAATTAAATTTTACAGGTGCTGTATAAAACTGAATGACATACCTACAATGAGGTTTTGGCATGGTTATAATTTATAATTTTAGTAATTTTAACACTGTTTAAGGTGGTTTCGTCCTCGTGGTGGTGCTCCTCCCGCAGCGTGACGAGGAGCGCACAGTCTGTCAGTATACACGCACCTGGCCGATCTCCAGTACCCTTAGCACGAACTAATATCGAATTCGTATCGTTTGCAAGTCCGAAATGTCATTGTCAAATGTGTACTGATTTTTAGTTCTCGTTACGTACTTTGTGGCGCTGCTGTTCAACTTTCCATACAAAATTTGACTATTCAGTTTGCAAACTGAAATGTCAATGTTAACTAATTCGAATTCTTCTTTGAATGTTAACTAAACTAATTCGAAATGTCAATGTTAACTAATTCGAATGAATTAGATAATGGTTCGTACTAGTGGTACAGGTCGTAGAGCACGAGCGCACCGTCCGCATAGACGACGGCGGCGCGCGTGGCCGAGTCGGACGAGTGCTCGTCCCGCTGCGTGGCGAGTAGCGGGCACAGTCTGTCAGTGTACACGCACTTGGCCGGTCTCCAGGTCGTAGACGACGCCGTCCGCGTAGACGACGGCGGCGCGCGTGGCCGAGTCCGCGAAGTCCGCTGCGGCGGGCGCGGCGGGCGAGTGCTCGTCCCGCAGCGTGGCGAGGAGCGGGCACAGTCTGTCATTACACACGCACCTGGCCGGTCTCCAGGTCGTAGAGCACGAGCGCGCCGTCCGCGTAGACGACGGCGGCGCGCGTGGCCGAGTCCGCGAAGTCCGCGGCGGCGGGCGCGGCGGGCGAGTGCTCGTCCCGCAGCGTGGCGAGGAGCGGGCACAGTCTGTCATTACACACGCACCTGGCCGGTCTCCAGGTCGTAGAGCACGAGCGCGCCGTCCGCGTAGACGACGGCGGCGCGCGTGGCCGAGTCCGCGAAGTCCGCTGCGGCGGGCGCGGCGGGCGAGTGCTCGTCCCGCAGCGTGGCGAGGAGCGGGCACAGTCTGTCATTACACACGCACCTGGCCGGTCTCCAGGTCGTAGAGCACGAGCGCGCCGTCCGCGTAGACGACGGCGGCGCGCGTGGCCGAGTCCGCGAAGTCCGCGGCGGCGGGCGCGGCGGGCGAGTGCTCGTCCCGCAGCGTGGCGAGGAGCGGGCACAGTCAGTCATTACACACGCACCTCGCCGGTCTCCAGGTCGTAGAGCACGAGCGCGCCGTCCGCGTAGACGACGGCGGCGCGCGTGGCCGAGTCCGCGAAGTCCGCGGCGGCGGGCGCGGCGGGCGAGTGCTCGTCCCGCAGCGTGGCGAGGAGCGGGCGCAGTCTGTCATTACACACGCACCTGGCCAGTCTCCAGGTCGTAGAGCACGAGCGCGCCGTCCGCGTAGACGACGGCGGCGCGCGTGGCCGAGTCCGCGAAGTCCGCGGCGGCGGGCGCGGCGGGCGAGTGCTCGTCCCGCAGCGTGGCGAGGAGCGGGCACAGTCAGTCATTACACACGCACCTGGCCGGTCTCCAGGTCGTAGAGCACGAGCGCGCCGTCCGCGTAGACGACGGCGGCGCGCGTGGCCGAGTCCGCGAAGTCCGCGGCGGCGGGCGCGGCGGGCGAGTGCTCGTCCCGCAGCGTGGCGAGGAGCGGGCACAGTCTGTCATTACACACGCACCTGGCCGGTCTCCAGGTCGTAGAGCACGAGCGCGCCGTCCGCGTAGACGACGGGGGCGCGCGTGGCCGAGTCCGCGAAGTCCGCGGCGGCGGGCGCGGCGGGCGAGTGCTCGTCCCGCAGCGTGGCGAGGAGCGGGCACAGTCTGTCATTACACACGCACCTGGCCGGTCTCCAGGTCGTAGAGCACGAGCGCGCCGTCCGCGTAGACGACGGCGGCGCGCGTGGCCGAGTCCGCGAAGTCCGCGGCGGCGGGCGCGGCGGGCGAGTGCTCGTCCCGCAGCGTGGCGAGGAGCGGGCACAGTCTGTCATTACACACGCACCTGGCCGGTCTCCAGGTCGTAGAGCACGAGCGCGCCGTCCGCGTAGACGACGGCGGCGCGCGTGGCCGAGTCCGCGAAGTCCGCGGCGGCGGGCGCGGCGGGCGAGTGCTCGTCCCGCAGCGTGGCGAGGAGCGGGCACAGTCTGTCATTACACACGCACCTGGCCGGTCTCCAGGTCGTAGAGCACGAGCGCGCCGTCCGCGTAGACGACGGCGGCGCGCGTGGCCGAGTCCGCGAAGTCCGCGGCGGCGGGCGCGGCGGGCGAGTGCTCGTCCCGCAGCGTGGCGAGGAGCGGGCGGGGCGCGCGCGGGGCCCACAGCCGCGCCGTGCCGTCCGCCGACGCAGACAGCAGCCGCCCGTGCGCCGCCGCCAGGGACCACACTGCATCCGTGTGGTCGCGCAACACCGGACCCTAAGCACACAACGAGATACCGACTTTATCTATTTTATTTATTTTTATTTTTTTATTTGACGTACCATCGACAATTTCACAAAGGACACCCGGCATTTAGTGCCAAAGTTGTATACTTTTTTAATTTTTTTATCTGTGTTTCATAATTGGGTAACGTAGTCTGGCAATATTTGTCATCAGCAGCTAGCTGTCAATGTCAAATACGTAGATTTGTCATCAAAAGGGTTTCTATATCAAAAAATATTAATCATTAAATAACTTCTATCCACGATTCACTAAAAATAAGGCAAAAGTAGTTTTATGTAGCAAATAATTTTGCTTTATTTTGAGACCAAATTCAACTGTATACAAGTTTAGCATTTTTTCTATGAAAAGTGCCGGGTCTCCTTTCAATAAAGATTTAAAGATGCAGGTAGTACTCAACCGTATGAATGGCCATTGCAAGCATGTATAACTCTAACTATTTGTAGGTAGGTACTTATATTTGTAACAGTAACAAATTACTGTTCGTTAGTAGTACTGTTTTTTTAAGGGACAGTTAACGAATGATTTGATGGGTTCGCGGGAGATTTTTCTGGGAACCTTTAACTTAATAATCATAATCCGGCGATTTAAACTCAATGGCGGCTGTGAAGTTAGCAGAGGCCAAAGCGCGAATTTTGACTGCTCCGTAATCGTAGCGTAATCCTCAAATTTTGTGTGGAAAAAGCTAGTTTGTTCTTACATCCGATTTGCCGATGCGATACGATTAGGTACAGAGCTGTCAATGTTTGTGCTTGGAATTCAGTCAGTTAGTTAAGTTGTTACAGAGAGAATGGAATAGACCGAGTACTCCAGTAACTCCAGTAACGCAGTAAAAAGGAAAGTGATGTAGATGCGCAAAGGATATCACTGAACTGAAACTGCACATAATTGATACTAACTTCACAACCGCCATAAAATTTTCTTATTTATTATTCGCACTATACTTATATGACAACAAAGTATAACAAACATCGTACAACTCATGCCAGTACGTAGTGATTAGCGAGCTCGCGAATTAAGATCGTGGAGGTTAAGTTAGTTAAGCAAGTTCCACAATGGACAGCCATGAAAAAAATACCATCTACGTGCTTTGGAAGGCACGACACGCCATTGCTTATGATTGGATCTGTAGTCGTTAGCATTTTTCGAAACGAGGTACACCCATAGTGAGACACAGTATGGTGGCAAATTATAATTAAAAAGAACAAAATAAAATTGTTTTATTTTTTTACCATACATCTAGTTACATAATATATAAAGGTAGGCTCTTTTTTAAGTGTAAAGACACCTGTACCAAATAGAACCACGTTATGGTAAGGTCATTCACTTTATTATGATTAAACATATTATAGTCTGAGTTACACCACAGAGCTAGTTAAAGTTAATAATTACCTGTACAGCTGGGTCGTACGGGTCGTAAGGGTCAGCGGTCGGCGGCGGCAGATTCCACACGCGTATAGTGCTGTCCAGGCCTCCAGAGAAGCATTCTTCAGACCGAGGCGCGCCCATAGCGAGACACAGAACGGGGGCGGTGTGTGCCCGGAACGTATACAGCGGCTCCACTTCAAGGCTGGCGGATTTCTTAGCGGGCACAGTACGCTGGAGGTTCCAAAGCTTCAAGGTGTGATCTTCGGAAGCGGTCACCAAGGCCGCCTCTGTAGGATGGAAAGCGAGCGCCCGGACCTGCGTAACACGAATAAAAGGTACGTTAGTAGTTGACACTAGCAATAATTAATGTAGTCTTTTAAGTTTAACTGCGCCGATCTCTCGCTTTTCTTCAATCTGTGGAAGTGATTTCGTGATAAGGGACGGAAATCTATAAAGGGACGCCGGAAAAGCGCGCACTACTTTAATGGGGGCGTTTAGGAAAATTCAACGTTTGACTTTTGTATGAAGTTTTTGGTGCGATTTATCGCAACATTTATTAAAAACTATGACTTATGGTTTCTTTACGTAGTCGCAATTTCAGCGCTAGTTTATTTATTTACTGTCTTACTTGGTAAACTAAGAAAAATAGAAAGAAATAGTAAATAATTAAATTTCAATGTCTTTTTCCCAAACTATATAACAAATGCTTTTTTTGGAACAAAAAGCATGCAAATATTGAAAAAACAATCATAATTATTGAAGTACCATAAGAATAATATTAGAACTACAGTACAGTAACAGTTGATCATAATAATAAAATTCAAGGTTATTAATTAATGTATTGTATGCAAATGATCAATTGAGCCTAAGCTATTGGGATCTGACATGGAGGCGTGGCCTATTCAATATGGCGCCGACGGGGGTGCATTTGCCTAGTCAAACCGTGATGAAATACCGTAAAATAGTTAAATATCAATATTAGTGGTAGATAATGATAGTCTTAACAATTAATGATATTTGTGAATGGTCCGGTTCAACGCCCAGTAATCGCAGTTTTCTTCAACTGTCGTTGTTGGGATGGAATGTCTGCAAAATATCAATTGATTATATAACTAAACCAAGGAAACTCTTTCATTTTAATGTTGTTGCCGTCCCATTCTTTTCTTAGTGGAATAATAATGAGATCTTGTAAAATGCTACTTCACACATGCTTAACCTCAAAAAACGAATTTGACTCACCTGGTAATATATAGTCGTCTTTCAGAAAATGCAATGAACACACTTTCATGTGAGGATTTATTTTACAGTCAATCTTCAAAGCGTTCTTCCATGCTGTGAATTGGTCCACTTTTTCCATTTGACCAAAATAATTTTTGATGTAAACACAACGCGCATTTTTTTTAGGAAACTTATGAAACGTTAATTCACGGTTTTTTTGAAAACTGCTTCCACATCCATACACACAACACTTTATTCTTTTTTTAGAAATCTTGCGAGGGTTAAATATTCCTAATTCTTCCGTCATTTTTTGTTTAATTTCTCAAAAGTACTAATGACACTAATGATAACTTATGTGTTTTGATGAGCGATGCACCCCGGTATTAGTTCCAAAATTGAACACCAGGTGTCTCACGAATTTTGTCAGATCCCAATAACAGACATATGTGTACATAAAGATACATCATACAGCACACTAATTAGGAAAACAAAATTAGCACAACATTCAACATTTATAATCATTTATCACTGTGAGTTTTATAAAAATCTGGATTTTAAGTTAACTTTAAGTTCTATAACAAAAACATATTTTTTTCTAGTTACATCATACTACTATTAATAGTTATTCAATGTTTGAACTGATAAGGAGTCGATTGACTTAGCAGTCTACTTAGATCCCTCGATCTAGATAATGGGAGAAAACTTTAATAAATTTACATAATCGATTTAAAGCGATTACGATTATGTGTATGTAAAATTTGTAATTCAAGTATTCATGCACAACATTTATATAATGTATGTATTATTGTAATGTAAGTAAACAAAAAGTAAGGTATTTTCATATGTAAGGAAAAGACTTTAGACATCTTTCGTAATAGTCTGAATGTTTTTAGTAAGAATCTGACATAACCCTGCCACCGGCTGTGGGGTATGCATGAAGCATTTTCCACATCCCTCCCCCGCTTTCCGTAGGGTGACCAGGCCTATTGCGTCGGACTTAAAAAAAATGTTTAAACTGAGGTTGTATATTTATGCTGTTGGTGTACCTTGATAATCCTACTATCCTATTAACATTATAACTGAGAAAGTTTCTATGTTACTCCATCACGCATAAACTCCTAAATGGTTTTGAATGAAATTTTGTATGCATATAATTTATGACCTGAATTGAGACAAGATACTTCTTATACAGGAAAAACGTCTGGATCCTGTGGGATTGGCGTGTATTTGTGGTTCCACGTCTTGCGGAAAGACTTCTTGTTCGCGCTGGCCATGTCGTACACCTCGGGCTCGTAGATGACGGTGAGCTGAGCGAGCTCACCGACCGCTAACGGCTCTCCTCGTCCGCCTCGCCCTGACCTTGATAATAAATGAATAGAAACTACGTTACCCCGTCGAAGTGCGACCGCAGCGTGTATTTAGCGTTCCACGTCTTCCGGAAGGACTCCTTGTTTGCGCTGGCCACATCGTAAGCCTCGGGCTAGTTGCTGACGGTGAGCGGAGCGAGCTCACCGACCGCTAGCGGCTCTCCTCATCCGCCTCGCCCTGACCTTGATAATAAATTAATAGAAACTACGTTACCCCGGCGAAGTGCGACCGCAGCGTGTATTTGGCGTTTCACGTCTTGCAGAAAGATTCCTTGTTCGCGCTGGCCACATCGTACGCATCGGGCTCGTTGATGACGGTGAGCTGAGCGAGCTCGCCGAGCGCGAGCGACTCTCCTCGTCCGCCTCGCCCTGACCTTGATAATAAATGAATAGAAACTGCATTACCCCGTCGAAGTGCGACCGCAGCGTGTATTTAGCGTTCCACGTCTTCCGGAAGGACTCCTTGTTCGCGCTGGCCACATCGTACGCCTCGGGCTAGTTGCTGACGGTGAGCTGAGCGAGCTCGCCGACCGCTAGCGGCTCTCCTCGTCCGCCTCGCCCTGACCTTGATAATAAATGAATAGAAACTACGTTACCCCGTCGAAGTGCGACCGCAGCGTGTATTTAGCGTTCCACGTCTTCCGGAAGGACTCCTTGTTCGCGCTGGCCACATCGTACGCTTCAGGCTCGTTGGTGACGGTGAGCAGAGCGAGCTCACCGACCGCTAGCGGCTCTCCTCATCTGCCTCGCCCTGACCTTGATAATAAATTAATAGAAACTACGTTACCCCGGCGAAGTGCGACCGCAGCGTGTATTTGGCGTTTCACGTCTTGCAGAAAGATTCCTTGTTCGCGCTGGCCACATCGTACGCATCGGGCTCGTTGATGACGGTGAGCTGAGCGAGCTCGCCGAGCGCGAGCGACTCTCCTCGTCCGCCTCGCCCTGACCTTGATAATAAATGAATAGAAACTGCATTACCCCGTCGAAGTGCGACCGCAGCGTGTATTTAGCGTTCCACGTCTTCCGGAAGGACTCCTTGTTCGCGCTGGCCACATCGTACGCCTCGGGCTAGTTGCTGACGGTGAGCTGAGCGAACTCGCCGACCGCTAGCGGCTCTCCTCGTCCGCCTCGCCCTGACCTTGATAATAAATGAATAGAAACTACGTTACCCCGTCGAAGTGCGACCGCAGCGTGTATTTAGCGTTCCACGTCTTCCGGAAGGACTCCTTGTTCGCGCTGGCCACATCGTACGCTTCAGGCTCGTTGGTGACGGTGAGCGGAGCGAGCTCACCGACCGCTAGCGGCTCTCCTCATCCGCCTCGCCCTAACCTTGATAATAAATGAATAGAAACTACGTTACCCCGTCGAAGTGCGACCGCAGCGTGTATTTGGCGTTTCACGTCTTGCGGAAAGATTCCTTGTTCGCGCTGGCCACATCGTACGCATCGGGCTCGTTGATGACGGTGAGCTGAGCGAGCTCGCCGAGCGCGAGCGACTCTCCTCGTCCGCCTCGCCCTGACCTTGATAATAAATGAATAGAAACTGCATTACCCCGTCGAAGTGCGACCGCAGCGTGTATTTAGCGTTCCACGTCTTCCGGAAGGACTCCTTGTTCGCGCTGGCCACATCGTACGCCTCGGGCTCGTTGCTGACGGTGAGCTGAGCGAGCTCGCCAAGCGCGAGCGGCTCCTCGTCCGTCTCGGCTCCCACGCCCGCCGGCGCGGACCCGCCCGCCCCGCCGCCGGGGAATTTCACTACAACCATAGATTGTTAGCCATTATGTGATAAAGAAGGTGCTATAGAGAATGACTGAGCGTTCCCTATTCAACAGATAGATAAATTCCTCCGTGGCTCGAGTGGTATGTACGCCGGTTTTCAAGATGTCACCTACTCAGAGAGGTTCTAATCCCGGTGGGCAGAATGTTTGTGTGATGAATACGAGCATTTGTACCTTAGTCATGGATGTTTATATGTATTGAATCTGAATACTTATATAAGTATCGGTATAATTTTTAATAAATTATGTATTCAATACGTTACCCTAGTATCCCATAACACAAGCCTAAAGGTCATAAGCCCCCTTACACCACTCTGCTTCAACACCGCTCCCACCGCCGGAAATAATAATAATAATAACGATTTTCCGTCGGGTTTTGGGTTTGGGATGCCTTCGCTAGCGCCGGTGTCGTTAACAAACCTCCATAGTGTCCCATACTTAAGTGACTGACATAGACATGGGTTCAAAACCGTGCCTAGATCCTGGTAGAAATCGTCTCATTAACAAGCGCCCTTACTGGTATCCGTGAACAAATAACAAGCGCCCTTACTGGTATCCGTGAACAAATAACTATACTACTATATATACAGATATATACTATTACTGTATGGTGATGCAATATGATTTTACAGACGCGGACAAATGGACTGAGCGTTCCCTGCCAATTGTAAAGAAGACAAATAATTATGAGAGACACAAAGCGATCGTGCGGCCAATAATAGTGTCGGCAGCCAGCACTATCACTTTTGAGTGACACTCTGCCCACGCTGCCCGCCCTGCCGCCGGGGAATTTCACTACCACCACACACACACAGAATGAACTCAGCGTTCCCATGCCAACTGGTAAGTAACCAATGTTTATATGGATATTGTCTACACCACTTTCTCTCTTTGTAGAGGCAGTGACAATTGAAGGGGTGAGTGGACAAAGGTGTTAACTAACAAAAAGTTCAAAATGAGTTATGAATGTTTGAAAATGTTAAATAATAAAATCAATGTAGCTATAACAGCTTAAACTTTTATAGAAAACTTAAGTATTAATACTTTTAAAAATACTATTAATTTATAGATTTTACAGAAGAAAATGGTGTTTTTATTATATTTATTAAAAAATACAGAAAATATTAACATAACACCTTTGCTTAATTTAATAAATTAAATCATATTTAGATTACATGAACTTGAAAAGTTCTTATGTGAAAAACAAAAGAATAAAATGAAATTTTGAATTGAATGAAATAGCTTTATTTCAATTTTTAATAATTATCAACTTTTTAATAATATCATTGAGACTCTTTCTCAATATGAGTATATAGAGAAAAACAAAAGAATAAACGATGGTATGTAGCACGGAGGAAAAACAAAGAGGAGCTGGCCTAAGCAACTGTGCACTGTGATTTTCAACTAGGTCCTGACGTCATCATTGTGGGCGGGGCCTAAGTCAGTATGCTTTCAGCGTTCGTCAGGTGCACACTTAACGAGACTCGCATTATAAGTGTTTTTTTGCGTTTTTAACAAGAAAAGGATGAAGTTTTGTGTTTTACTATGTCAAAGTTACTCAGACAGACGTTCTGATAATATGGATGGCATCACATTTCATTTGTAAGTAATTTTATACGTAATTAAATATATAAGTTCTAGAACATTCTCAGCCTCAGCTATCAGCGTTAAAATTCTACTACTTGACACCAGATGGCGACACTTTTAGGAAGAAAATACACAAGTTTACGTATAATTTTGCAGTAGTATATTGTAATAATCAAACGTAAATACTGAAAACTGTTATACACTTATTCCTAAATAACTTTTATTATCTAAAACAGTAATTTTATCAATATATAATTAACTGACCGCCATCTGTCGTCATATAGAATAACTTTTTAAACGTTACAAATATCCAGGGCCGTAATACGTATTAAATTATTTTACCAAGTAAATAAATTTTAATTATTTTTATGTTCGTTTTAGATTTCCATCCAACGATAATTTAAAACAGCAATGGATTTCAAAACTTAATAGACCGGATTGGACACCATAGAAGAAGAAGATATTTCCATTTTAAATGAATCTTCTGTGCAAAAATTAATATTACATCAGAACGTTATCGCATTTTAAATAAAATGAGTTTCGAGTCTTCGGATAGCACGGATGTCGAGCCTATGCCTGACGATATGTTATTGGAATTTGATGAACAATTAAATACAACTATAGGTGACTATTTGCGCCGTCAAATAGTAGCATATATTTCTGGGTATGTGGTCAAATATTTACATTCCAAGATCAAATGTGAGAGCTGTCTCAAAGAATTATATGCTGATAACTACGACGATAGTGACCTTGATTTGATAAAATCTAATAATAAGGGTGGTCTTACTTTCCCATCTAGAGATGTCATAAAAATATGTATACGGACCGAAGACAGTATTCGTTGTGTTAAATCGCAATCTTTGAATACTCCTAACTTTCGTAAACATAAAATTGTACCGAATACATTAAAGTCACTTATTGGACAAGATTGTTTCAAAAAATCGGCCAACCATATGTTTGACCAATCACCTACAGTTAATCATGTTGTATTTCTGATGAAATCGATTGCAGAAAAATATATTGATATTCGGTTTAGGCATTTTGCCACAATACAAAACGATAGGGCAACCAACCGACAACAACTAACCAAAACTATTATTTACAGGTAATTGATGTTTTTTAATAAAATTATGTTTGTAATAACAATTTGTCTATTATTTTTAAACTACCTTAAAATTTAAATCTAAAGAAAATATAACTACAAAAATATCCACGCGGACCAGGCAGCAGACGGGAGCGGGTGCGGGTTCGAGTCCCGTCTGCTGCCTGGTCTGCCTGGATTTTTTTTCATCAAGCAGTTACATGTTTTAAAATAATAAAATTTATACCTTAAAATTTTTAAAATCGGTCAAATTTGTCAACGTTTATTTTATTTATTTAACTACATATTTAATTTTTTTGAAGTTTCAAGTTCTGAGTACGTCCCATTATAAACAAAACTTTTGACATCTAGTGTTAGATAGCTGAACTACTACGTAGTAACATAAATATCAACCTAAGCTAGTTTTGCTATTAGCCGATAGATGAAATATTGAGAAGTGGGCGGAGCTGAACACCCCGCATCCCGCAAATTATCACGCGTCGTTTCTTGAGGAAATTTAATCACCACACCTCCTCTTTGTTTTTCCTCCGTGGTATGTAGTATGTTTTTATATCAGCATTTTTTTTCTTTGAAGAATTTACCCTTTTGATTATTACAAATGTTATAAAAAATTAATGTATTTAAATTGAGTATAACTATTCCCAAATCATGTCTTAGTTTGACTAAATCATAAAAATGATGATTCATATCTTCTATGATTGAATTATTTTTAGGTGCCTTTTTAGTAACTGTGAATTTCTGTACTGATTAGGAGGAACTATTTACTCACGCCTTCTTAAAAGTTTTTCTATAAGCCCAAAATCTTTGTCACAATCTAGAAAAGTATGACCTACCCCTGGAACTTATTGTTCCGTGGATGCTACAATTTACGTGCAATCATGTACTTATATAAACATTTAAAAATTGGCCCACTGCAAGAATCTGACCATAGTAACAAGTTTTGACAACTATCTAAATTAGAAAAATTATATAAACAGTCAAAGAGCGAACTAAGAACTACACGGCCCGGCGTGGGCGTATATTAAAGCACAATGCTAATCTCTACATATTCTTTTAACCTATGATGTTTTAAAGTCATAGATAAGTCACACACGCTTCTAACTTGGCAATACGAAATCAGATAATTGGGCACGCTCTCTCGCCACGACCACACTTTGCTACAATGCGTAAATATTCTTTTATAAAAAAAACCCCTTCAATTTCTATCAAGTGTCGCTTGTCCATTCTTTATGTCTATGACTACAACAGCATATCTCTACTCTGTTTACGGAAAGGAGTTAGTGGAGCGCTTTCTTTAGCAGCAGTCACAAAAGATGGTAAACTACGTCACACGAAAAAGGCGGTTGTAATCGGCCGTAGTAATGAACAATACAGTCCTAGCCTAGCGTCGCTACTACAGACTACAGCTAATGACATAAAAGTCGGTATTAGGTCGTTTCCGTGATTATCTTCCATACGAATATTACAAAAAACGGTAGTAATATAAAAGGAATGTATACGCGCTGCATCGTTGCAATGCTCTAACCAAATACTAATTTTCATACAATATGTATCTACAACTACTACTACAATATATACAGCCGTCACGAGAAGCTGCTGAAGCTGAACTACTACAAAATAGTATAAGTTACTTAAAACTGTTGCGATTGTTATTAGTCAATTAAAACTTTTGCGATGTATGGCATTGTCATTCGCTGTTCTGTGGTACAAAAACGCCGATCCAAAGAAATTGGTAAAGGACCAACTTACAGTAGGTATCTAGTGACGGCAACTATAGAATCGTAGTCGCAGTGCTACTATCGTGATAGACGCAAGCTATTGGGATCGTAGTTCCAACCTAACCTAATTGTCTGATTAACGCTATACCTTAGGTGTGTCTTTTTGGTATTTAAATGTTCCAAAATAATAAATTTCTTTATAAATATTTCACTTAATAAAACTTGATAAAGCAAAATTAAGCCAAATGATAAATTTTACCAAGTACATAAATTTATATTTACAAAAGATTCATTTGTAATTACACTAGTGAAATACCTTTTTTGGGAAGCGAAATTTGACGAAAAATATATTGCTCAAAAGGCAGTACATCCACAGAAATAGTTCCGCATTTTAGGACATCTTATGGTGATGAGACCGAATTCTGGAGCCTTTCTTAGCTTTTAAACTTTCAATAATAAGTCTCTGAACGTCTCGTACTCGCATTAGGAAAATTTTAAATTGTGAGTTGTGTCACAAGTGAGGCAAACAACATTCGTGGGTGCGGTATAACTAATTGAACACCTTTGGGGTTCATCTAAAAACAGATTGTTTGGCTTGTGCCACGTCCCGATTGAGAGAGCGATCGTGTATTTGATCGAAAATTAAAATTAAATTAAAATACTGTCTAAGGATTCTGCCACTGATCACTGCCTCTTTAAATCCGCTGCGTTAACTGAGCAGGGCGGGCTGCGGCATGCAGGTCTTTTCTGTTTTTAAGTGAAACTCAAAAAGCACTGATAATCTTTGCGGGCGTCCGTTTCAAACAAATACATAGAGAATGAACTTGGCGACATTCGCATGTAACAGAGAACTCTCTAGGAAGAGACAAAAAACCAATACATTCACGCAGGTTTACGCGTACCTAAAGCATCTGCAGTCATTTAGCTAGAGAATAAGTTGTTAATACTCTATTGCGTACACAATGCGGCTGTACAAGGTCACTGTCAACATATCTTCCTTAGTTTCTCCACAATGAGTCTAGCCGCCTCATATAGCCCAAAGAAATTAAAAAAACTCACCAACTGGGTACTCATCTCCTTGACCGCCACCGTCTACTTCACTTTCTGTGAGTGTGTTCAATTCATTCAGTACCTCTTCCCCTTCATGATCCACTTCCTCTCCTGTGAACAAATTTATGTTTAGCACATTATCTGCATATTTACATTTTTAATTTAGCCATAAGAAAATACCTTGTTTACCAGATGCATGATGTGGCTGTTTAGCATCCAGGTCATCAATTTCATCCATGTCCATCTCTTGATTCGCCAAAAATTCAAAGTTGGCAAATACAGCAGCAGTTTCTTGCACAGAAAGCTCTTCTTTATTGAAACGACCACCAGCAGGTACTGCTTTCCTTTGTTCTTTGTCTGTAAAAAATATACAATTAATTAGGTACCTATCTATAAAATTTGTGTTTCAAGGTGAGTATAGACAAGAGAATTTTATTTAACACTTATTTTTCCGTTTACTGATTATTAAAAAGTCCAGCCTGCTTGCTAGATAAACAGTCACACCACTTTACTTGTGGTAATAACCTATATTATAAATAGTCATCATCATCCTACCTTATAATATTAATATTGGGCGACTATCACATATCCATAAGTGCTATAGTTGTATTAAAAAGGAGCTGGTTTGTATTATGGCAGGATGTCATTGCAATATGTTCTTTAATACAGCAGCAGACATTTAGACGCATTTTAAATTCATATTAGACTTTGGTGTCTAATGTGAATTTAAAATGCAGCTAAATGGGCAAATTATAAAAAAAAAGTTCTTACCATAATCATACTTTCGAACCATAGAATTTATGGAATAGTCACATCTATCATGTTGCTGTTTTTCACAGTTTGTATAGAGCTCCATCTGCTCCTCGTTATTAAGTCCAAGTAAGTTCCTTACTCGGTTCGAACGTACATCAAGTATTGTATCAGTATATCCTATTTCCTGTTGATAAAAGCAGATATGTTAAACCCTTTACTTAAATTATATAGCCCACGTTATACTACTGAGCAAATTTTCTATCACATTTGTTTAAAAACAGTCTATGCTTACTCAGATTTAATTTTTAATCTAATATTATGGCAACAACTCATCACTTTTGCAAGTATTTAATTTGTGCTTCTGAGTAGGGCCACAACAGCCACTTCCACAGAAATTCTTCATCTTTGAGTTAGAACGATGTGATTTTATTTGCCTTTTTGTATATAATTTTGTGCATGTCAATATAAATCATTGTTATATACGTTTAATTGTGTATAGTGATTTTTATGGTATATTTAATAAAAAGAAATATATTTGAATTACATGAAATTACGAAATCAACTAGTTATTACCTGCAGGTACTGTTTGATAAGTTGGCGTCCCTGCTTCCACTGGGCCCTCTCTGCTGGCTCAGGGTCAACAGGTGGCTTAGGTTCTATCGGAGGCTCAGGCTCTGACCTCATGTCACCTTGCTGCAACTCCACTCCATATTTAAGTTTATGAAACTTAGCTCTCTCCTGCTTCAATGCATATTCTAGCATTTTGATTCGCCTCACTAGGTCATTTTTTAGATTCTCCTGTCCCATCCTCTCACCTTGGAGGAAGGCAATCTGTGCCTGTAAATATTATTTAACAGTTAAAATTGAAGTTTCTTAATCATATTTTGTTAAACATGGCTCAGACAAAATTACCCATAATTGAGCTATGATAGGATAATAGTTAAAACCACAGAATAGAGTGCCACTCCAGCCATCTTCACCTTACTAGACTAAACACTACTCAGTGTTACTGACCTACAGAAACGCAACAACACCAAAAGGTAGTAGTAATACTTTGCTTTGGTCTTTTATAAGGTTAAGGTAAATTCCCCAGAAGGTTTTTTCAATTTGAGAAGCAATCCACAATAAAACCCTTTATTAAAATATTATGTCAATTTGATCTAAAAAATGTGGCTGTAGTAAATAAAACCAAGTACTACCGATACCTAACTGTATGTTATCAAATCTACCACCATCATTATGAAAAGATATACATCCCCTCCCAAAGATGAAATGGCTTTACTTACTACCAAAAATATTATTCCATTAAAAAAACCCGCAGCTAAAATACCCCTGCATAAAGAAGAATAAAATAACTTTTTAATTATTCCTGCCATTTCAGACCCAAAACTTCAGCAATAATGAAAAAAATGGAAGTTAAAAAGATGTTTTTTTATCATGGTCAGGCATTATTTTAGACTTTTTAAGCACATCTGTGTATAATCACAAAGCAGATTTTATAGAGCATTACAAAATGTTTACTCAATCAAGGAAAACTTAAAAAAACTTTGCCAGCAGCTTTAATATAATTAGATTATTAACAATTTAATTATTATGTCATCAAATTTTTCATTACAATTTACAATAATAAAAGACTGAATATAATACTCAAACTGCAAGAAGGATAACATGGTTTATATTTACATTGTTTAGTGTATTAATATGATGTAAAAGTAAGAATGATTCATAGATAATGATTTTTAATGCCTTAAGATAAATAGATATGTTTTTATCCAATCATGACATGCTAAAACTATAACACACTTGCTCTTCTTAAAAATACTACTACTTAAAAAATTAACTCTTATTTAAAAGCAAGTTCAAATTGTTATCTGAATGTAATAAATACTTTCATCAAATCCACATATAGGAGAGTAGATACTTGAAAATGTCCTGCTAAAGACATTTAGGAACATAAAGAATACTATAATGTATTATTTTACTAAGATTTTTTTAAGCAGAAAAACATGGTTTGTTTCTGTTTTTTTACTTAAACACATACTGATTAACAGATAATTTAATTATCAAATTCACAATAAGAAATAAGAAACTGGATCGAATATTAAATAGTTAGTAATCAATAATACCTTAAGGCAGATTAACCAGTAATCTAGGATCTCATTAAGAAAAAAGAATAAAAAACGAAATAAATAATAAAAACAAGCAAAATATAGCATTTCAATTAAGTTCGCCAGGGATTTAACTTATACAGCATTTTTAACAGTTAGAATCTAATACAATAACAAAGAAAAATACCTTAAATTCAGCTCTGTCCACCTCCCATTGTGATCTCTCGAGCTCGAATCTCGCCCATTCGTGTTGAATAAAATGTAATATACCCGGTATCGAATACTGGACACTTTGGCTAGGTTCATCATTTTGTTTATTATTTACATTAACTCCAATTTGCGATCCCACTTGCCCTCCGTTGTGATGAGATACGGAGCTATCATCCATGGCTGTTGGGATTTTCATGACATGGCCACCATTACCGAACTTGTCACACACCTATCATAAAGATCTACAAAGTTGAACTATGCAAAATGAATTTCTAGCACATTATTATAACTATATTATAACTAAAGTTCACATATGTGACACCATATAAATTATTTTTTACGATAAATTCATGAATGACAAAAATTATTGCATGACGGAATAGAAAAGTCGAAACGACGTCCGTCCGCTACATTGCTCTTCTTTTTTTAATGTTGCCATCTCATCTATATTTATAATTTGATTAATGTGAATGGCAATCTAACAATATTATACTGTATGATTTCCCAGGCCAGAATAAATTAAAAAAAAAAACTGTATGATTGACACATTTTACACTCAAATTATAGCGACATTCTTTTGTAGCTTGCTATTGGAAGAAGGTCGCTTCGTCATACAAAGATCCTACTTAACTTGTGGTCAAGGTGGCCAAAGAGTAAAATAAGTATACCATGGTGGCCTTGTATTTCTGTTCCTATCTTATAGCATATACCAAATACCAATGAGGATAGCATAGGCGGACGAACCTCTCCGCCAAAGTACGTGGCCACTCTGACCATCTGCAACTAGGGACACGAAAAAAGTATCGATACTTTGTGGTATCGGGTTGTTTTCCTTTCGATACCGATACTTTTGCACTCGATACTTTGTATTCGATACTTTTACTAAATGAGTACTTTTTGGCAAGTATCGATCAGTACCTTTAAAAATTTGGATAAGCGCCTCATATTGATGCCAACGCCATTTTGTTAAATCATAGCAAACCTTCTAATACGTTCCATAGCGTTGTTATAAAGTCAGTAACGGACATATTCAAATTCTTTCCAATCTGTGACTGTGTTTATTTTGCGCTTTGTTTTGTTTCATAGTTATTTATTTAGCGACCATATTATTAGGAACTGTGATTGATTCGCCATTTATTGTGCTTTTCGCTTGACTGTATTTGATTTATTCAAGTGTCCACTATTATTCTGTCCGTGCTGTGTATACCTATTTGAAACCACGGACCTGAAAAAAGACGGACCTAACCTCTTCTTTAATTATAATCTTGAGTGAAGCATGCCAATGGCCGCCGTTAACTGCGTGTCAAGTTCAAGTTAACATACGTGGGTATAATGTTTTTTAATGATTGCAATTCAAGAAAAGTTAGTTTAATTTGTAACAAATCTGAAAAGTTTCATACTTTAAAATTTGTTTCCATCAGACTGTTATATGAGTAGTTAGTCTATGTCTGTCGTCCTTAGTCTACACTTGTCAGTACGTCGATATTATAAAATTGCCGAGCCAAACAGTCGTCTTATTTATAATTATATAAATATAACATGGTGTCAGAAGTGGAAGACCTATAATGAGTCCGTCGGGTCAGTCAGAAGAACGAAAACATAAAACCAAAATCAACATGCCGGGATGCAGTAATATGATGATGACTGGTAATCTCGCGAACAATTGGAGAAAATGGTATCAATCATTTAAATTATATTTAACAGCATCTGGTTTAGATGAGGAGAGTTACCAGCGAAAAGTCGCAATTCTACTTCATCTCATCGGAGCAGAATGTCTCGAAATTTTCAATTCGCTCCAGAAAAGAACGAAGAAAATATTACTTTCAAAGAGTTGGTTACACTTTTCCAAAATCATTTTGTCCCAAAAACTAATGTCACATTTGAATGTCAGCAATTCTTCACATACAAGCAGTCAGAGGAGCAGACCATCGACCAGTTCGTAACCGAGCTAAAGGCAAAAAGTCAAACATGTGGTTTAGGCACACTCCAAGAGCGTGTCATAAAAGTTATGTTTATATATAATATACACAGCAGATACAATGATGTCCGAGAAAAACTCCTTTTGGATGATTCGCTTGACCTGAATAAAGCTGTTCAGATGGCTAAAGCTATGGTGATTACCAAGAACAGAGCTGACGTCTTACAATCAGATCAACCATCAATATTTAACATCCGAAGTCGATCTAAAAATGAAGCTAGCTCTACAAGGTCCAAATCAAAGTCCAGATCGTCACAAAGTCGCGATCAACAAGTCTGTGGAAGATGCGGCCAAAAACACAGAATCAAGTGTCCAGCAACCAAGGCAAAATGCCGCAAATGTCATTCTATTGGTCATTATGAGGTGATGTGCAAAACAAAACGAGTCAATCTGATGCAGTCAACGTCAGACGAACATAAAGAAGATGACAATTCATTTTTCGTTGGACATATTCAGTCTAGAAAAACAAATGGAGAATGGAAAATTGACCTGCAGATTAACGATAGAACAGTCGAAGCTCTACTGGATACTGGCAGTGACTTGAATGTTATGTCTCTGGAAACCTATCGATCACTACAGCTGCAAGAAAATATGTCGCCGTGCAACATAATTGTAACGTCATACAGCGGTGATAAAGTCAAAATCATTGGGCAACAAAATATTTTATGTCATTTCAGTCTAAATCGTGATTTTTCTAATAAGTTTATTTTATTTGTCATTGCAGATGTTAGTTCGCCAACTGTACTAGGCAGAAGTACTTGTTCGGAAATTGGTTTAATCAAAAGAGTTTTGTCTATCAATCAACAACAAACATCAGTAAGTCAAGTCTATTAACGAAGTCGATGTCAGACAATAATAACAATAAGCGAAAGTCAAACTCGATAAATTTTAGTAAAAATTGTCAAAATTATTTAAGTTCTTTGTTTGAACAATATAAATCAGTCTTCGTGGGTCTCGGTTGTATGCCAGGCGAATGCCATATAAGTATCAATCCAGAGGTGCGACCGAAAATTGATGCGCCACGAAAAGTCCCATTTGCGTTGTATGACAGGCAACAACAAGAATTAGATAAAATGGAAAATATGGACGTCATCACAAAAGTGACTGAACCAACAGAGTGGGTAAGTTCACTTTTGTTAGTTGAAAAAAAAACGGGCAACTTAGGGTTTGTCTAGATCCAAGAAATTTGAATCAGGGTATTCGTAGGTCTCATTACCCTATTCCAACGGTAGACGTAGTACGTTCTAAGGTTGTAGGAGCTAAATATTTTTCAAATCTTGACGCCTGCAGTGGATTTTGGATGTGCTGCTTGGATAGAGAGAGTTCTTACCTCACAATCTTTAATACACCGTTTGGGCGTTATCGTTTTAAACGCCTCCCGTTTGGTGTCAATTGTGCACCGGAATATTTTCACAGAGTCATGACAGAAACGTTTAGCGATATTCCAGGCGTAGTTGTGTACAGCGACGATATTTTAGTCTGCGGAGAGTCCGTACAACAACATAATTTTTGGTTTTAAACCAGTACACTGTTTTGGAAATAGTTTCCTATTTTTTTTTCAATAAGTGACTTATTATTTTAAACAAAATGGAATAATTATTATATATTTTACTTATTTATACATTGCAATCACACTAATATTATAAAGGTGGTAGTTTGTGAGTGTGAACCTTTGTTTGGTTATGTTACACATCATGAATGATTGAATGTTTGTTTTTTTTTTTATAAAATCTGTCGATGTATATTTGTTTTACCAACATGCTATTTGTATCGCAGACGCACTTAATTAAAGGTGGTTGAATATTTTCCAGTTTTAAAAATACCATTCATTCACTTCATACATTTTTTGTCACATCACTATGAATTTCTATTTTTGTCATTCATTCGTCATTTCGCGCCTTTTTTAATTGAATTTTTCTTTCTTTTAATTGAAAATACTAACTTTTTAGAACTTAAAAATACTTAAATATGGTAGAAAAAAACACCATGTTTCAGCAGGATTGAAGTTTTTACGTGAGAAAACAACATAATTTTCCATTTTTGTGGGAGCTCCGACTCGCGCTGCGGAACTATCCAAAATGGTAGCGGCGTTTTCTTCTTCTCGCGCGTCGCCGGTGCCGAAAGTGCCGCGCGTGCGGGGGATCTTTTCTGGGCTTGCTGCCCACCTCAAAAGTAGCCGTTTTCGAGTCCCATTAACGAATGGGACTGTCCTTGGGGTCAAACCCCCCTCTCTACGTCTTCACTCATCGCCCTCGGCGCGGTCAAGCCCGCCGGGTGAGACCCATATGGGAGGCCCAGTGAGCGACCAGCGAGCGGGCGACGGACTTTGGCGTGAGGGGGGAGCACCGTCTGTGGGGTAGTTTCGAACACGGCTATCCGTGTTTTTCCAAGAAGTCCTTCATCTGCTCGGCAAGGTTAAGCAGCTGTCGGATTGCGTCGATCGAGGCCGGGGATGGGCTGTGTTCCTTTTGATTGGCTGCGACGGGTAATGTATATTATCGATGCGGCTCTTTTTTTATTGCGGCGACGTCTGGTCTTCGACTTCGGCTGCGTGGGAGCGGCATTCGCGGGGGCCATTAGGGTGGCCGGCGCATGCTCACTCACCTCGATCCTTTGTTGGGGTGGTACGGCGGGCTTGCGGCCTGTTCGGGCCACTGTAGACGTTTTCCGGTTTCGCGCCTCGCGGTGAATCACGGGGCACGAGCTGTGATTAGCAGGATGCGGGCCCTTGCAGTTATCACAAGTTGCAGGTTGTGCTAGTAGGCGGGGGTAGTCGGCGGCGGCGGCGTGCGGGTCTCCGCAGCGCACGCAGGCAAGTGTGCGGTGGCATCCCTTACTCGAGTGTTGGAAGCCCTGGCAGCGATGGCACTGCGCAGGGCCCTTCTTGCGTCTCCATGCTTCTATGGTGATTCCGGCCATAGAAGACATGCGTAGAAGATACATCCGGGGCGGCCTGCTCGCACCCGGATCTGCTTCGCGTGCTCGACTTCGTAGCCCTTGGCAGATAGGGCCTCGATGATTTTCTGCGGCTCGGTGTTAAAAGACAGCCCTTGGATGGCTACCTTTAGGCTGCGGTCCTCTGGGAGGGCGTATGAGTACCAGCTCAGCCCGCCCTACCCCTCCAGTTTGGAGAGGTGGACCTGGTTGATGCGGTACTCATCGCCGTCTGCTAGCGTGAATCGAATGACCGTTACGAACGGGCGTGCGTTGGGTTCGGCCAAGGGCATCGCTCAGGAGTCTCATCTGGATGGGCCAGTGGCCAAAATGGTAGCGGTCGCGCGTGAGCTAGCTTTATATAACGCATATGGTCATATGGCCACGTACTTTAGCGGAGGGCTCCGCCCGCCCATGCCATTTCGATTGGTGATGCTCTAAGCCCTTCACTTTTATGCCGCACTTGATTAATTGTTATGAAAAAAAAATGGGTGCGTGTACTTATGTAGGCGCGTG